CAGAAGAGGATGCAGGCTTCCAATTTCTCCAGAGGATCTGGAGAGAAAAGGGAGCTGGGAACACTCTGGAAATTACATCCTGGGTAATTAAATCACTTGCATCTCCCCAGGATAATCTTGTCTGTCTGTTCTTTTGCTCTGGGGGTTTGAGGGGTAGTGAGGGGGAAGATAAATTCTGAAGAAGGGCGACTGAAGCCTGGACATCTCTCATTTGGAAAGGCAATCTTCATGGCTGACTGGCAATGAATGGTCATCCTGACAAGTCCCTGAAGCCCACGGGAAGGAAGAGGAAGAGGGCAAAGGTGATGGGCTGGATTCTGGAAGGTCTGCTGCTTTCCACTGGGAATGAGAGCAAAAGACATCCATGTTCATAATTCCTGCCCTCTGTATGTGAAGTTCCCACCCTGACAAAGCATGTCAAGGGCCCTTGCACCCAGCACTTGAGACGAGATGCCCTGAGTCATACCCACTTTCCATTCTGGCCAAAGGTACACATACATGAGATGACTCATTATGGTCAGGACTCAATGTGTGACCATCAGAGAAGTAGCCCCTGGTGTGGTGGGGAAGAACAGGGCATTTGGAGTGCGACAGGTCTGGGTTCAAATCCTGCCATGGACACTTACTTGCTGTGTGACCAGAAGGAGCAAGTCACATAGACTCTGTAAAACTCAGTTTCCTCATTTGCAAAGTGGAGAGAATACCCCCTACAAGCTTGTTTTGAAGTTCTGATGAAATTATGTAAAGCACTTTGTAAACTTTAGACCACTAGCCTAGTGGTTACTGGTGGAAGAAAAACCTGGCTTCAGTCCTGCCTCCGACATGCACTGGCTGTGCCCCCCCGGGCACGCTGGCCAAGTCTTCAGGGCCCTTGGGCAATGCTGTAAGAGCAGGCACCAACCTGCACCCACAGAAGAGGTTCTTCATTGAGAGTTCCTCAGACCAGCGAGGTCATAGGACCAGTCCAATATGTAGGTTTGTACACACACATGTATACATGTCATATGTGTATATATTTATACGTAGAGAGAGACATGATTATCATTACTGTCATTACCCATAATCAATATGTAGTATTAAGTAGTACTAAGTTTTCTCTCCAATATTTCCCAGTCACTGTTAAATTTGTTACAGACAGGTGAGTAAACAGGCACAGAAGAAACGTCTTCAGAAAGGTCAGTAAGTTCTTTCACATTTCCTAAAGAAACAGGCAAGTAGGCTAGCAATGCCTCTCCTTGCTCCTCCAATCTTCCAGATCCCAACTCTACTCTCCCTTTCCCTCCTCTGCCCACGTTTTCTCTGCCAAACAAGTGATGACCCCCTCTGCCTCTTGCAATGACCCTTCAAAAGTCTTTTCTGGAGAGATGAGCTCCATGGCAGGAGTCCTGGGAGAGAGCATGGCCACAGCAGCCTTGGGAAAAGGAAGGCTAATTCTCTGGCTTGGAGAGACTGCTGGCCTGTTCTGGGTCCTAGGAAAATAAGGTTTAGAGCTAGAGAGGGCCTTGGAGATTATCAGGCCCAACTTCCTCATTTTACAGATGAGAAAACTGAGGCCCAGAGGCGATGGGATTTCACTACCTGGTAGTAACTGGCACAGCCAGATTTCAAACCTAGGCACATGGAACCCAAACCCTCCCTCTTAACAATCTCTCTTTGTTACAGCCATAGCCTTTGATTATAGTTTTGGGTCTTCAAAAGAACCCCACCTTCCTGGGCAATGAACCTTGGGGGAGGTTCCACAGGCAATAACAACAACTCTGTGCGCACTTTAGGATTTCTTTCCTCACAACAATCTGGTAATGAAATTATAGTCATGCCTATTTTGCAAATGAGGAAACTGAGGCTCAGAAAAGTGACGTCCCCCATGCCTGCAAGGCTCTCTCCTCCTCAACAATGCCTCCTGATGTCCTGGACTTCCTTCAAGTTTCAGCTGCATTCCCACTTTGTGCAAGAAGCTTTCCCCCAATTCCTCTTCACACTAGTGCCTCCCCTGAGATTACCTCCAATGTTTGCGCACAGCGGCTCACATGCTGCCTTCCCCATTAAAGTGCGAGCTCCTTGAGAGAAGGGGTTGTCTTTTCCCTTTCTTTATATCCAGAGAGCTTTGCACAGTGCCTAGCACATAGTAGGTGCTCCTCTTTGGCTGTCCAGTCATAAAGCCCACCCACCTGACCCCCAGTCCTGCCCCCTGAGCCTTCTAGCTCAACACGCAGTGCTCTTTCCAGCCTCTCATGCTGTATAAACGAATTTCCAAGTGATGCTGGGCAGGCAAGGGGGTTTTTCTGGCTGATTAGATGACAGAGCTGAACCACAGCAACCAGAGAATGTCAAGTCCTGCTCCCCTTATTTGATTTGGAGTTTTCACTTAGACATAAAAAGCCTCTCCCTTTCCATAGCTTACAGTCTCCTCAAGATAATTCAGTTGTAATTGAGTCCAACTTTGGAAGGAACACGAGGGGATCAATACTCGGTGGCATGAACTCTTCCAAGGAATTGAATCAGAAGTAACCAGGCGTTTCTGTGAAGGAAGGCAGGCAGGCTGGGCCAATGGGAGTGGGGAGGGGGAGGGGGAGGGAGAGGGAAGGTCCATTCCTCCAGTGGGACATTCTCCAGCCCTGGGCCTCTCCTGCCTCACCTCTGCTTCCCTCTGAGACTGTTCAAAGCACAACTTCTTCAGGAGATCTTTCCTGGTCTCTGCATAAGATGGCCTTCCATGATCTCTTCTGTATATGTAATCCAGTTATTAGCGTGATCTCTTTGAAGTCTTTACCTTTCTCTGTATCCTCAGCACCCAGCACACACCAGTGCCTGACAAATGCTTGTTCACTGACCAATTCTGTTCCTTACACTATGAAGCCTTTACATTTGTACAATACTCTATACTTTTCAAGAAACTTTCATACAGTTTAGAACATGTGTTCCTCAGAGAGGCAGGATCAAGATGATCATCCCCACTGTAAAGATCGATGCACTGAGGCATGCACAGGGAGAAGGACTTGCACAGCAAGGCAGCATCAGAGACAAGCACCTTGGCTTCCTGTCCAGCAGCCCTGTTTCTCTTTAATGCCCAGCAGAGAAGGCACTCAGGTCAACGCAAGTCAAAGGGTCTCTAGCTCTGAGGAAGCAGGGCACCATCTGGATTCATGCCACACTCTGGGTGTTCTGCCCTTGAATGTGCTGTGATGCTGGGGGGGCGGTGTAGAGGACAGCATGGCTGTTGATGAGGTGATGCCAGGCTCTCTGCCCTCTGGGCTGTACTCTTTTTAAAGGTGGTCAGGGCTCTTTAGTTCTGTTAAATAAATGTGCAGCCCACAGACACAAAAAGAGGGTTGCTCCAGAAGCCGTCTGCAGGGAGCTGCTACGGATGCATATTCTGTTACCATGGAGACCCACCCTTGAAAATAACTTCAATTCCTTGAAAATGGCTACAAACAATAATAACGATAAATGAAAAATGGGGCATCGTTACTCCCAGATTGTACTTATTGTTGGATTTCTCTGTGCTCTCCCTTCTCCAGAGCTGAGATGATAGCTCACATCCATGAATGTCATGGAACGATCACCTCCCCCTGCCTGACCGCATGGCAGAATCCACATCCTGTCTTCCATCTCTCTCTCCCTCTCTAATTAGGTTTCTTGACGTAACCTCCCTGAAGCGTTTTTCAAACAGGCTAAAATCTGAAGGTGGGAAGAAGGGTAACCAAGCTGTGATGGAAGAGCACACGTGTGTAAGGGGGAAAGGGCACATACATGGACTGGAGGATGAATCACTATGGCTTCTCACCAGCTATGCAAACTGTCTCAAGACAAAGCATATCATGCCTTCGTGAAATCTGGAAGTAGGACTAACAGTAACTGGGCTCTGATTCTGTTTTCTCTTCCCTGTTGGGTTTCCATGGAAATCTGGGCAGGGACTGGAATGAAGGGAAGAGAATTCTGAACATCCCAGACTGCAGGCTCTTAAATAATAGTGTCCTTTGTGACAATCCCTAAGGGATACAGCGCTTTCACTTTTCACGTTTTCCTATCTATTGGCTTCTCTACAACAATTCTCCAAAGTGGGAAGGGTGTCAGCTGCCCCTGAAAGGTGATGGGAATGAGGCATAAGGAGGCTTACCATCAAGGGGATCCAGAAAGTTCGGAGTGAAGCTCGGGCCTCAGTTTCCTCACCAAGGGGGGGCGGGGGCAGGACCAGATGGCCTCTGAGGAACCTTGCAGCCCTAACTTCCAGGCTTACTCCTGGGGAAGGAGTCTCTTGGCTGCTCTGCCACTTGGACCTGACAGACTCTAATGAGGAAGCATCTTATCATCCAATTGCCTTACAGACTAAACCTCAGCACCATGCTAAAGAAAAAGGAATAACTTTCAGTGTCCCAAACTGCCCTGTTGTTCTCTTCCAGCTCCAGAGCTGGAAAGACAGTGTTGTCACAAGAGGGAATAAGGAACTTACTTAGCAGAGAACACTACCCATTTTTTCATAAGCAATAAAGGAAGTTTGTGCCTGATTTAGGAAAGGGGTTTACTGGGCCTGCTGCCCCCAGGAAGTATCAGTGCTTGGCTTAAGTTATCAAGAAATTCAACCTCAAGGTGAGTGAGGGAAATGATGGTGTCAGCAGTTGGACCAGAGAACCTCTGGAGTTCTAACTCTGAGAAGCCAAGACCAGAAGGGGCTGGTCCAAGGCCATGCCCTGCTCTCAAGACCAGAAGGGGCTGGTCCAAGGCCATGCCCTGCTCCTAAGACCAGAAGGGGCTGGTCCAAGGCCATGCCCTGCTCTCAAGACCAGAAGGGGCTGGTCCAAGGCCCTGCCCTGCTCCCAAGACCAGAAAGGGCTGGTCCAAGGCCATGCCCTGCTCCCAAGACCAGAAGGGGCTGGTCCAAGGCCATGCCCTGCTCTCAAGACCAGAAGGGGCTGGTCCAAGGCCATGCCCTGCTCCCAAGACCAGAAGGGGCTGCTCCAAGACCATGCTCTCCTCTTGGTGACTCAGAGGCGTAGACTTACCAAGCTGTGCATGATTTTCTGCCCGTGAGGGTTGATGGTCAAGGCTTCATCATATAGTTGTTTTGACTCCTCCAAATTGCCTTTCATCTCTTCCAGTCTCCCCCGCATGTAGAGCACAGAATAGGACGTGGGGAAGAGGCTTGCTGCCTCTTGGATGCAGAAGTTTGCTTCTTTGAGGTGATGCTGTTCCATGAAAAGTTCAGCTACAAAAGGAGATAAATTAAGGTTGGTGGGGGGAACAAGAAAAAGGGGAAAGTGCCACCGCCAGGGTCACCCAGAAGCCTACATGATGCCATAACCTCTCCAGGAATCCCTCCCAGCTCCCTTGGTTAAATCACCAGGTGAATGGCCCCGTAAGGCAGAGCTGGGGCTGGCCCAGGTGATCTTGGCTGGGGGGGGGGGGGCGGGCGGGCGCTCCTTCTGCAGACTACCCTGACTGAGATATCCCCTCGAGGAGAGTTTTTTCTCTAGCCCTTCAGCACTCTCATCTTTTCCCCACTGACAGGAGACACCGGGGCTAAACCCCATTAACAGAAATAACACAGAATCATTGGTGAAAGCTTTGCCAGTCAACAATTGGCCTGACATTATCAGGAGGGCTTAAAAAATAATTGCAACAGGCCATTCCTCCAATCCTGGGCTGTCATGTGCCCATAGACATTAGAACCACAGCTGGGGGGAACAGTCAACAAACATTCATTACGCACTTACTAACCGTCCTTGGCCTCCATAAGCCTACGTTCTGTCAGGGTTCCGAGTTCAGATGTGGCCTCAGACACTTCCCAGCTATGTGAGCTTGCTAAGTCACTTAAACTCAATCTGCCTCAGTTTACTCTTCTGTATAGTGGGGATAATAATAGCATCTATCCCCCAGAGTTGTTGTTAGAATCAATGAGGTAATAATTTTAAAGCACTTAGCACAGTAAGGTAGTGATATATGTATATATCGCTTATATATAAAAATATATAATTATATATAACACAAATAAAAATTACATAATCATTTATTATTTATATCATATTATTTGTATCATATATATACAACATATAAATAAATAATTATATATATATAAAATATATATATATATATAAATGTAGCTATTGTAGTACTAGTAAGTCACCTAAGTTCTTCCTTACCTGGCACATGGTGGGCCCTTAATAAACATGTGTTCCCTCCCTTCCTCTCCAGTCAAGGGGGACAACATGTAGGTATCTAAGAATATATGGAAATAAATACAGCAGGCCATCCCGGCAGTTTGGGGAGATGCCCCTTGGTGTCCAGGGCACCACCACCATCCCCATGTTGTTTCTGCTTTCCTAACACCCCCAATGTATGTCCACTTGGGTCTGTGTGCAGAGACTGATCTGGGACAGTTCCTCCTCCCTTCCACCTTAGACCTTTGCCACCGCCTTCACAGAGCTAGACTTCAGAGAGAGAGCCTAGCGTCTCCAGGTTACAGATGACAACACTGAGGCTCAGCAAGGCCTTGTTTAAGGTCACAGAGCTGGTTTTGCAGAACCGGAAGCCATACCTGTTGCATTTCCCAGCAACATGGTGTCTTGTTAAGTGTCACTGTACAAATGCACACCACATACACACAGATCCAAACACACACTGCACACACAAAATGAGTATTTAAAAGTCACTTTCTCATTTGGTCTTAGGTTTTACTGCAGAGGTCAAGTTCAGTTGACACTTTCTTAAGCTGACCCTCCAACGGAGGTGCAGGGTTGTGCTTAAACACATGATTAGTTCTGATTTAAGTGCTTATTATGTGCCAAGTACTATGCTAAGTTCTGGGGAAATTTGATCCTGGAGGAACAGGGAGCCACAGGAGCTTCTTGAGCAGGATGGGTGACATGGTCTGATCTGTGCTTTAGGAAAGGGACTTTGGCAGCCGAGTGTTGGGTCCACCAGAGTAGGGGAACATATGAGACTGGGAGAGCACTGAGCTTGGCAAGAGGAGTTGAGAGCCTGATCTACGGTGGGGGCTCTGGGAGAGATGCCGCCAAGGTACAATAAGATTTGGCAGGCTCAAGAGGACTTGACTCAGGGTCTTCCCAATACCTGTTCTCAGCTAAGGCTACCAGCCAGAAGGAAAGAGCCAGCATAGGCCCTGGGTTAACCCAGCTCTGCCTGTGTGATTTCAGGGAAATCTTTTCACGTCTCTGGGCCTCAGTTTCCTCACCTGTCAAATGAGGTGGCTAGACCAGACGGTTTCTAAGGCTAGGTGGCACAGTGAATAGACTGCTAGACTTGGAGTCAGGAAGGCCTGAGTTCAAATCCTGCCTTAGAAGCTTACTAGCTGTATGACTCTGGGCAAATCAAACTTCTCTGCCTCAATTTCCTTATCTGTAAAAGAGGATAATAACAGCATTTACCTCACAGGTTCATTGTGAGGATATAATGAAATACTAAATGTAAAGTGTCTGGCAAACTTTAAAACACTATATAAGTGCTTCAGAATAACAGCTTAATAGAATAACAGCTAAGTCTATGATTCTCTAGTCTGATCAAGGGTCATGGGCTTGGTAATTTCAGCTTAAAAGTCAGACAAGACCCACATACTGTGCCTATTTAGGAAAAGCTCTTGGAAAGAGGCAGAGATGACAATCCCTTCTTCACACTGCAGTCACCTCTGGACTCATCTTCTTGCCAGGAAAGCTAAGCCTCTGATGCATTCCACCACCCTCTGAGTGCCTGGGGGAGTGCTGCATGAAGCTGATTATGCAATAAAAATAAATGGCACCAGCCAAAAATACAACAAAGGCCTTCACAATGGGATGCTGGGCTTTTGTGGTCAACATAGGAATGCTGGAAGTCACATAAATCATATCATAAAGGGGGAAAGAAGAGTAAATACATTATAAAGTTCGGTTCCTGTTTCGGGAGGAGAGGGTGAGAACAGCTATCTCCATCTACCCTCTTCATCATGGCTTCTCCCCAGGCCGGCTGAGGACAGCATAGACTCGAGCTCCCGAGCAAGGACCACAGACTTCCTGGGGAGAGGAACGTGACTGCGTGGTCACTGCAGCCAAGCCAGGTGCAGTCTCCGTCTCTGCTCTGTCTCCCTCTCCCACAGTCTTCAGAGCCAGAAGGGACCTCCCCCCTGCTCACCTGCCAACTTGAATCCACAGTAGGACTCCCTTCTATGACACCGCCCATCTACAACCTGTGGTTGCCCAGGCACTCAAACATTTCTACCTAAAAGGGAGCTCACCACCTACAGCCACCGCTGGGCAGCTTCTAGAGGGCTTCCATTGAAAGTGAGGCCCACTCGTGGGAGAAAAAATAATAAAATAAGTCAGTCAGTCACAGAAGAAACAACCCAATGGCTTTACAGGGTTCACAGTCCTGTAAGACGAGCACCTCCATAGAAATGTGACGCTTTCTCTTACCTTTAGGGCAGAGCTGAGCCTGCTCCTTGCTAAAGGCAGAGTAAGCATTTCTTCCCGAGTACCCGAAAGATTTTAGTAACAACCCTTGAGAAACAAACACTACCTTCTGTCCTGAACTTAGTGGCTTCAGAGAACATATGAGGTTGCTGACACCTATCTGTGCCTGTCCTCACTGCTCTGCTTGGCCATCGAGAGCATCGAAGTGCCAGCCAGCAGTCAACCAGGGTTCACAGAACACCTACTACGTGCTCCCTTCTGTGCTAAGCCATGCCATGGGAGGGGGAGGAGAAGAATGGTGGAGCATTTTCAGGTAGTAGGAATGACTGACCACTAGTGGCTTTAAGACCAGTGGAACATATAATATCTTGGGGTCCTAAGAAAAGGAGAGGAGGGGTGAATAGTAAGGAAAGGGCTTAGAATGGGGGTGAGAGGCCAGGGATACGGTGGTTAGAGTGTGTGAATTGCAAGCTTACTATGAGTCAACAATAGTCAGTCAAATAAGCAAATGTGAGCTCGGGCTGAATTCCGAGAGGAATACAGAGGCAATGCCCCGACCCCCCCCCCCCCCATCCTCTGCCCCAGTCCCACCACGTCTAGAGGACTGCATTTAGTTCTGGGGACAGAGCTGAGGAAGGATGTCGGATAGGCTGGAGAGCGTCCAGGAGGACAACCAAACTGGCAACTGGCGCAGGGCCTTGAATGCCTATCATGAGGACTGGTGAAAGGAACTGGAGATAATTATCCTGGAGAAGAAAGAGCTTTCAAGAGACAATAGAGCCGTCTTCACATAAATGAGAACAAAAGATTATCACGGGGGAGGGGATAAGACCTGCTCTGTCTGTTCTGCCCAAAACCAGCAGCAACACGGGGAGAAAATGTAGTAAATGAAATTTATTTAATTTGATGCAAACAGGTAAAAGCAGCTAGGTAAAACTGATTTTAAGTAAAGGCAGGTAGAGGGCACAGCAGAAAGAGTGCTAGACTTGAAGCCAGGAAGACCCGAGTTCGAATCCTTCTCCACACACTTCCTAGCTGTGGGATCCCGGGTAAGTCATTTACTTCTCTTCAGGCTCAGTTTCCTCATCTGCAAAATGGGGATAACAACACCATCCTGTTTCCTGGCAGTCTCACCGAAGAAAATGGATATCCACATGTGGTAATAAGTATCAATACGTGTTGAAAATTACATAAAGAGAAGGGGTTATTATTATTACCATAATACTCAGGGTCACCCAGCTAGGAAATGCTGAAGCAGGATTTGAACTTGGGTCTTCCTGGCTCCAAGTCTGATACACAATGCCACATGGCTGCCTAGCACTATCTATAAAAGACATTCAAAGCTTAACTGCAGTTTTAAAGCTATTAAAGTCTAAAATGGCACTAACACTTTGAGAGCATCTTGTATAGGTCTTTAAAGGTTAACAGTCGTATTTAGCCGGTTTCATTGTCCCCATTTTACAGATGAGGAAAACAAGGCTCAGGTTACGTGACTTGCCCACGGTGCCACGGCTAATAAGTATCATGTGGTTTTCTCTCTGCTGCCGCCACTAGGCCAAGACCGGTCTTCAAGACGTGGTCTAGTTCCCTTCAATTCTCCTAGTCTGAATATGTACTTATTACTTTCAATGCCCTTGGGACAAAGGCCAGACAGAGGACTTTCATTTTTTTTAAAGGACTTTACTAACAACAAAGGCAAAGAAGACAAAATAAACAAACCTACAGACTCCAGAATAGAGCCCGCAGCCTAACCTAGCTCTAGAGGATGGCAAAGGGCCCCCGGATAAGCAGTCGTGCTCTCCCTCCC